AAGAACATTTATCATTCTTTAATTATAAATAAGCAATGGCAGCACAGAGAGTGTAAGTATTTCCCAAGATCACTGAACTAATCGCTATGGAATGATGAACTTCAACCCCAGGAAGTTTTGCTCTGTGGACCGTGTTTCAGTCACTGAGTTATGGTAATTATAATTTTAAGGCTTAGTAATTTACTCTGTATCCTACAAACACTGAGAAGCCCTTGAGGCATTTTAAGTAATAAAAGATGGAGAGGTCGGGAGTAACATGGTCAGACTGGAGGAACAAGCATGTATATGAGCTAATTATGGTCTATTACACTTCTAAACAAGAGATTATGGAAATGACTTAAGTTCCTATTTAACAACAACTCTACCATTTTCTCTTGTTTAAAGAAGGAGCAATCACCATATCAGAAAAACAAAGTTTTCCCCTGTGGTATGTTTCAGAAATGCTTAGTAAAGTAAACATATCAATACTTTGACTTTTAATCACCTATTTTCAACTCAACAAATTCATTATAGCCAACCTAGGGCAACAGGGAATCAGATCATTGTGCTTTCTTATTTACTTAATTGCCTCAAAAGTAGGAATACTTCAAACCAAGTAATTGTGCAGCACCCACCAGGTCCCAGTTTGCATGGGCTTGGGACACTGCCTGTTTCTATTTCCTTGAAAACTTTTCTTCTCCCCACCAGGGAAGGATGCTTCATACTGAACAGTCTCCCAGCCATGGGCAAGACTGGTCACCCTGAGCCCTGCTGATAGCCACATTTCCAGCTTGCGTGACATCAGTCACTATGAGATCCTCATTCTCTTTGTGCGCAGTGATTTCCAGGACAAGCCAACACAGCTTCGAAGTCCCAGCTGCCCGGATCATCTATTGTTTTGTGCTTGCTTATTCCTTTGCTCTGCTCCTTTCCCACTAGGATCCCTTTCTCAATTCTGCCCTGTCCTTCCAGATCCTTCCACTGGGGGGCTTCAGGAATTCATTATTGATCATCAGAAAACTTGCCTCTATCTTTAACTTCTCATGTCATGTTCTTGTTTTCATTCGGTTATTCTGTAACAAGGGCTAGAATCACAGAAAATTAATACCAATGCTCTGGACTATGTCACATCAATGAAATTCAGAGGGAAAGAACACAGATATTAGTAAGTCTGAAAGTTACCCAGGTGATTAGAATGGGTATACAGGGTTGGGAGTCACTAGATCTGTGGTTCTCAAACTGTGCCTTGAGGCCAGCATCACCGAGAAACCCATTGTGAATGCAAATTCTCACCTCACCTTCAATCAAGTAAATAGAAACCCAGGAGACAAAGTCCAGAAGCTGTGTCTAAGAAAGCCTCCAAGGGACTGTGATGACCCAGTTTAAGAACCAGAGCATCGGGCCGACTGTAATCCCACTGGTGCCTGTACACTCCATCCTCTCAATTTTTGGCAGTTTCCTCCTCTAACTGTGTACTTCTGGACCTGGAGGTGGGCTTTACATTCTCCTTCATTCCCTTTATGCTTTCAGAATATTTCTCCCCCTTGCTCCTTTGAATCTCCCAGAGTCTTTGAAGAGAATGTGATCAAATTTAGGTACCCATTTCTGATCCTTTTTGTCATTTACTATTCTCATAATGATTTCCTCTCGCTCATAATGTCTCCAACACCTGGTCTATCTGCTTCCTTCTCCATTGCTATTCTTTGGCGACTTTAACACGCCTGCAGGGTGACTGCCTAACGCCTGAAGTCTTCGTCTTCAACAGATGTCTCACCCCCCGCCAGCAGCTCGCAGCTTGCATTCTCATGCTTCCTCTTCTTGCACTTCTCACAGGAGTACGTCCTTCTCATGTGTAGCCTCTTTTTTAACACTGTGAGAAAGAGCCACCCCCACGGCTCCCGCTGCCACAAGAGCACTGTTTCTCTAAGGATTTCCCTATTTTGTGAAGGGCCTGCACCACTGCCTCAGGTGTCACCTCCCCCTCCCCCCAGTCCTGGGGAAGGGCCCACTCCTCAAGGAGGAAAACCATCTCAGACCACATGCCCACTGGGGGACACCCAAATATGTCCTCGCCCACAGGGGCACCCTGAAGTATTTCCCCACCCATACGGACAGCCAGCTGAAGCACCCCTCCCATGAAGAGAGTTCATTCCAGCTTCTTTGGTCTGCAGTGGATCCTGCCGACTATGCTAAATGTAGCGCTGGAGGGTTTCAGCTCTGGGCAAGTTCACTCTGGATTCCGTGAGACAAAATGATGACAATGGAACACTGGGGGTAAAAGGTTTTAAACGAAGCTTTATTCTTGCAGTAGCAGGTTGAGCACTAGAATCGTCCACATCTGGCAAGTCCACAATCCACCATCTGCCTCTGCACAGAACACTGGGCAGAGCTCTTTATATGACAACATAGACAATAATGGCTCATTGCCAACACATGTGTAAGCATGTGCCTGCCTGCCTATGCAGTAGGACAATTACATCATTGCATATACACAGAGGGCAAGTACATTAGGGTCAGATGAGTATCCTGGCTATGGAAACTTCCATTTTCCCTAAAAGAAACACAAAAATCTCAATCATAATATTTTTAAGTTGGTCATGAGGATGGTAGGGCAGCATGGAGAATATAGCCAATGGTTCTGTAACATCTTTCTATGTTGACAAATAGTAACTGCACTACTTGGGGTAAGGATTTAATAATGTGTGTAACTATTGAATCATGGTGTTGCATACTTGAAACCAATATAATGTTGTATATCAACAATACTTCAATAAAAACGTATACATGCACACAAATTGGATGGCTCTAAGAGTGTTTGATTGAGGGAGTCCTCAAGGTAAACCTCAAGGGATAATCCTATGTCAGGAACTCAAGACCAGTAAGACCTAAGCCATTAGGACTAATCAGAAGAAGGAGAGGAAGTGTTTACAGGATCCAGAAAGAGAGATTCATGTAGAAAAGGCCACACGGACAGAAACAGTGGCATTATGTTAAGGGAAACAACAGACACAGGGAGCTCTCATAAAGGGATCCAGGGGAATATCTGCCCACCTTCACTCCATCTACCATTCCTCAACATTGGTTGAATCCAACTGGAAGCCAGAGAACAAGGGAGCCTGTATTTCTTAGAGGTCAGCCTCTCTGGGTGTATAGGAAGTGGAGAAAGGTGGAAACAGATCTGAAGTGGCATACTGCCCTTTCCCATTCTAAGTTCATCCTCCTCCTGTATGAGCCAATTTTCTAAGCACCATCATGATTTACTTAATGGTATAAATCAGAAACCTGCTCTCAAGCTCTATTCCTGCCGTATATTTACATCAGTTATCTATAAATATTCCAAATCCCCATTCATTCTATGAAATATTCGTGTCCATACTATTCTCTCCATCACTGCTGCTTCCCCTCACACCACTGTATTGTCACTCCAGCCTACCATTTCTTAGTAGCATCTATTGCTTTCAGAAATTACTTCTGTGTTTTTCAAATTTCCAAGAGGACTTTGCTCAGAACTTTATCTCCAGTGCCTCGCATAGTAGCTGGTACATAATATATGCTCAATAAGCAAATGTTTGACAAATGAATATAGGCTTTCAATATTTATTAGTTAAATTCTGCAGTTGCAAGCAGTCTCTTTGACATCAGCTTTTGCCATCTTCAGTCCATCATTTACATTTCTGCCAGAAGGCCTTTTGTCCCCTATGTGTAAAGGGATGGAGATGAGCCAGTGGATCCAACCAGAGTGCTTACAATTTACTGAGAATAACAATAGTAACAAATTGTACTGCTGCAATATTCTAAGGTGGTGGAAGCATTGGGCACAAGTACCTGACCCCATGTTAAGAAAGGCATCCTAGAGAACAGAGAGTAAGAGATGAGGATGGAGATGGCGGCCATATCCTGAAGAGAGGCACTGAAAACCACGTGCTTAGTATCTAGACTCCTTACCTGCACATTTTAGAACTTTTACTGCTGATGTTGTCAGTTTTAAGTCCCATGTTTTCTCAATTCAGACTCCCTGCTCTAGAGACAAATGACTCTTTAGTTGTCTAATAGCTGCCAGGTGATTCCTGCTTCTACAGTGCTGGCCTAGGAGATGAGATTCTGTTTTTAAGGGATGCCGTCTACTTCACACTCTGCCCTCCCCTTTTCTGCTCAACACAAATTTCTAAAAGCCACTTGACTTTCCTGAGTTGTCCAGAGACAGTTCATTTTTCCCAGATATTAGCAAGCCTAAATTAAAGGGCAGTGATTTGGAGATGAAAATTCCTACATTCTCTTCTCATAACCTGGGGAGTTAACAGCTACTGGAATTCGTAGAACTCAGGAGATTTGTGATTCACCAAATTATTCTCCCCTGTTTTAAAAGATAAAGGATGGCTTTTCCAGTTACTCTGAGTAAACAGCCAAATGTTAAATTCAAATTGAATGTAATAAAGACAGTTTAATCAGAAATATAGTGAAGAGTAATAGATATAACACCAGACAGAAAATATTTAGCCTTCAATTGTCCTATATTATCCTAATAATTAGTATGTTCAGGTATTGAATATTTGTGTTTCTGTGCCACTGTAGATAATCAAACCTTATATTCATTCTCAGCATTGGGAACTAATGATAACAGAGAAAAGCATTTATGTATCAAAACCTTAACATCCTTTCCAAATGTTCTAATCACAATTAGTGTCTATTCCAATGTCAAATCAGGCCAAAAGTAACACAGAAAGGAACAATTATGGTGTTACTTTATTATTTCAAAAGTTTGTAATAATTAGCATAGAAAAAATTAAATTCACAAATGAGATGTGTGCATTAAGTAAATGCACATTGGTTTTTTTATATCCTTATTAGGTATAAAATAATCACATCAAGTTAAAAAAGTAAACTTCAACAGTATTCAAATTACAAAAATCCAAAGATATCACCTGTGATTTTTAAGACTAATCATCTAACCAAAAATATTTAGAAATTTAAAGTCAATGCTAAGAATAATTTGGTGAATCTCAAATCTCCCTCTGAGGTTTACATATCCCAGTAGCTGTTAACTCTCTAAGTTATAATGATTTGAAAATGGATAAGAATATACAAATAGCAAATAGCTGGACACTTTTATTAACAATTCCTTTGGCAAGTTAATGAGAATTTACACAATTGGTCAGTAAAAGCCCTGCTAACTGTAATATGTCATATTATAATGCAACTAATTACTGTATTATATAGATTCAAATTTATTATGAAACAAATTATGCAGACTGTAACCTGGGATAACATCTATTCCTTCAAGGAAGATTTTAATTCCGTACCAGTGTTATAAAGATACCACTGTATATTTTTACTTGAATACTTTCTTAAGAAAAAATCAATCTTGTATTGTGCCATATTACTATACCTTGCATTGTTTTACTTTATGAACCAATATCATTAAGTCCATCTTGACATTTTCCTTGTTGATGATTGGTAGGATATTCTGTTGACTGTCTATAAAGACTTGCTTTGAAGAAGTGATTGTTAATGATCCATTACTCTTAATGAATCACCAGTCCTCCAGGCATTGGGATTGGTGAAGGATCTCTTGTTTGACTTGATATTCTGGAGGTTCTATATAAAAGTAAAAGTAGAAGTTAATAATATGTCATTTCAAGGATTCTACAAATGTGTTTGTATGTGATTTTATTTTTGTATAGCTTCTATGCCTGGTGGGAAAAATATAATCAAATTCCTGAATATAAAGTCCCAATAGTAGAATAGTTTATGGTCTTCCGAAGAGGTATCATGCATTTAGACATGATTTCCAAGTAAGCATTAAAAAAAAAGAGTCTTTTTCTCAAATATTTAAGTTTTAAATTATTGGTTTCTCTAAAAATCTGTTTGAAGATTTAGGGCTGTTGTTTGAATTTAGCATAACATGAAACAAATGTAAAAATGTTAGCCTTTACTGCAGAAAGGTATTCAATGGACTAGACCTGACTACTAGGTGAGTGAACAATGCCTGAAGTGGCATGCAGCCTTCTTTCACTAAGGAGGCATTATTTATTTCCAGATGTGGGATAATACAGGTTTTGTTGTTAATGATGCTTTTGTTTTGTGCTGTTCTTTCCATGATGGTTTTGACTTACGTCATTTACTTAACCCTGAGTCTGGATCTTTCAGTATGGAAAATAATTTGTGACTAAATTTAGTATGTTTAACAGCATGAATGATTTGCTTTAAAATACATAGTAAAGTAAATTCAAGAGTTTTGTCTGTAACACTCCACTGTCATCCCTTCTTATTCAGCCAAGAAAAGAGGAGAAGTTACAGCTCATACACAGAGAAATTGGATAGCCAGCACCTTATTTACCTGTGGCCCAACAGTAAGCTGTAATCCCATTGGCCCATGTGGCAGCCATGAACTTTATACATTATGTGTGTGGCTAAGAAATAAAAAACTGAGAACCATTAAAATAAGATTTTTGCTAGACTACAAAACCATCTGTGCTTCTCAGCAACACTATGTCTCTGACGTCCATTGGCCCATGTGGCAGCCATGAACTTTATACATTATGTGTGTGGCTAAGAAATAAAAAACTGAGAACCATTAAAATAAGATTTTTGCTAGACTACAAAACCATCTGTGCTTCTCAGCAACACTATGTCTCTGACGGAGTATCTAGGCAAGCCCGGGAACTGAACTGTGCTCTCCAAACAAAGGGAAGTTTAATAAATTGCAAATGCTGTTTTCCCCCCCTTAGAAACTGACTAATTATTTGGTCTTTAAACCACAACTTGGTACCCAAGGAATATCTTCTCATACAAACACAACTTCTACTTCTTAGAGAAAAGCAGTTTGTTTTGGTATACGTACTGGTAAGCACCAAGTTACATGTTTAAAGGGGTGGGATGCAACCAGTGGATATGATCAGTTGGCAATGCACTTAAAAATAAGTAAATTTGAATATCCTTAGGCAGAGCATACTCTCATCGTGTACCTGACCTCTTGGTATTGCCATAAACCCCCCACTGGAGTCTTTCACTTTATCTACCTGGTTGTCAAGGACTTTCAGCCTGAGATTTCTGTAGGAGCAATGTGTGTACATGCACCGGATAATTTACTGAGCCCTCCCCTCTGTCATGAGGTGGGAGAAATGTCCATTGCCTCTGCTCCTCTCTAGGCCCAGCTGACAGAGATATTTGTGGGTGTGCATGCACATATATATAAGTGCGCATGCACACACACAATTATATTTCTTCATTAACATTTATGATACCCAAATTATATACAAATACATATAATGAATAAGCAAATGAACATCATTGATACTAAAATATGAATTTTATTCTAACTTAAAAGTAAGCAAATGGACACCATTTTATATCTACTTATATATGTTCAATAAGTGGAAAATTTTTAAACCCTGGACATCTAGAAATCTAGAGCTTGGTACACTTCTAATCTCAAGCCTCACACGCCTGCTGGAGCATTACTACAATGAAGGCATCTAAGAAAAAAGATTTGGAAAAAAATGAATTAATGTCAGGCAGTAGTAATAAGGCTTTCTAAGGTTATCCTGTGAAGCCCCATTAAATGTCTCTTAATAATTGTATATTAAAAGATGAATGAAATTCATTAGTATGTAAACAATTAGACTGAAGAGTAAATCTTCAAGTAAGTACAAACTGTATGAAGTACACAGCAGGTCCATTATGTGAGCCGATCAACCCAAGAATTGATTTGCATAAGGAATGCAGCAAAGTTCAAGTTGGATTTTGTAGGGAAAGTGATACATTTAATTGGGGAGAACTGCGTACAGTCCAACTTGAAAAGTCCCTGAAGATCACATTTCTCTTACACATGAAGACCGAGAGTAGTGTTTCCACGGACCTCTCTTCTCTCACACTAACAGGTGATTCATGTCTTCACGGAGAAGCTTTCCTTCTCACACCCTCTGAAAGATCTGCCATTGTGAAATGCGCTTCGACAAGGCGGATTGCTTTCCAGCCCTACCCCTCCAGGCTGCCTCCTGTTACCTCAGCTTGAGCGTGACCAGGAGAAGGATTCCGCAGGTGACTGTCATGCACATGACAGCGTAGATTAGTTCTCCTGGAAACAAAAGATTTGTTTTTAATTACTGGATTTTTAGAGAGAATGAATAATAAAAATACTATAGAGAACTGATTTTAAACTGACCATTGAAAGGGGAATGGAATCCACTTAGAGTTATTTCCTTGGCATGTTTTCTTTTACGCAATGCAATGCCTTTGAAGTTCGACAGGGTTGGATAATCTGAAAAGAAAAATGAAAACGAGATTAAAATATTTAAGGTTATGCATTATTTTTAACCCATGGGTTGTAATTTGCTTTATATTACATTCTGAAGCAGCAATTTATTTCTATGACACTATTTCGATAAAATCAGATTAGGGTGAAAATGGGAGCGATTTTCTTAAAAATTTTAATGGTTATTTTTTCCCCTTTTAATCAGACAGTTAGGGCTTTTTTTTTCCAAACCATGATGGGGGGAAAAAAGATTACATTTTATAAGATCTTTCATCTTACCTTACATAGAGACTAGGAAAAAAACCCCAACAGAACTGTAGGCTATCTATTGGGATACTGAAAAAGATTCCTTCTTTACAAGAGTGACTGTTTTCACATGCTTTTAATGGTATTTCCTTCCCATAAGGCCCCCTGTATTTATGAAATCGTATAAAGGAAGAGCCCCTAAACCAATCACACAGATCGCCCCCTCGCTCCGACACTTCAATGTATGGCTCCACTCATTCCCCCTACTGACTCTCACTGATAACTATGCAGTAAAATCACCCCGTGTTTTGACTCAATGCAACACAAATATGAACGTCAAACATGCTAATAGCACAATAACCAAGCTCTTCAATGATGATGATTCAGGTGGGTTTTGAGGCTTAAAAAAAAAAAAAAACAAGGAAAATCTGATAAAGCCTGCACTTGGGAGAGAGGCTTTGCTGTTCTCTGTTATAGATTCCTCATGCATTTTGAGAACTTGAAGTCTGAGTGGACAGTTTGCAGAAATGAGTACATCAAATAGCAGATTATTATATCTGATGACAACTAGTAAGGATAGGCTCTGGGCAGGGAGGGAGGTGAGAAGGTCTATTACCAACAGTTCCACTCAATCCTCTCTCCACCCAGGGCTGCTGCTGTTCAGAAGCTAGGTCTTTGGAAGCCAAGGTTTGAGGTCTATGTTAGAAAAAATCAGTAGAAAGCACAGGAGACAGACTGTTTCAGATCAGTAACCAAACTCTCAGCCTGCGTCCAAGAGAAGCAGACCAACTTAAGAGCTAGGAAAGTAACTGAGGATTTTGTCGCTAGAAAACCCACTCAGGGAGTCTGAACTCTAACACAGCTCAGACACTTTTAATCCCAAGTCACTTATTGGGTCATCGTATATTTATACAAGTGTGACTTCCCAGCAACTGAAAAAGATCAACCTCTTCTAAATGTAAAAGAGAAGTAGAGCTTCTGATTTTTTTTCCACTTTTGAGGTTATAAAAGAAATCTTGTTATTCACCATGAAGTTGGAATGGAAAAATTGAGCTCTATCAAATAATACCATTTTTATGATAGTGACCCTTGTTTTTGGAAGAATTAACTTTAATCACAGTGAACATACAGATTTTTAGTGACATAAATGATCAATTCAGAAGATGGTGGAAAAAACCGGTTTTGCCTTTTTAAAAGTTCTTTTGGCATTTTATGACATTTTAGGTAGATACATTTTAGTGTATCATGTGCATTGGCTATTTCTCTGTCTGATACTATAGTTTTCCTTTATGAAATTCTGTCCCTAAGTACATTTGGTCTAGTTAAGTACCACGATTCATCTTTGCATAAGAAAAAAAAGGTATTATTTTGACAAATTTCTCTTTTAGATATATTTCTGCCTAAAGTAATTGTTAGACATTCACCTAGCAAAGTTTAGGAAGAATTGTCTCATTCACTACATTGCACTCACATGGAACTCATTAACAAAGATATAATAGATTAATGACAGAAATGCTACCTAATGATCCCACTGAAAATTTTAATGTGTCTAGCAATCACTCCACAATCTTAAATATTACACCCTAGGAGAATACAGAATATCAGTTCGAGGGATTAATGTTACAGAGGGTTTCTTGGCTACTGAAGCCCATTGGAGATTCTTCCCCACCTTTTATAAACAGTGAGGTTTACAGTGTTTTCTAACCATGAAATTAAAGTCGGCAGAGTTAATAACCAACCTCAGTCCCATACCATCTGCTACATTTATAGATAAACATTGTCAGAGACTTGTTTATCTTAAGTCATACCCTAGAGGAGTTAGACACTATTATGAATTACACTGTAAAATCCCTGTACATTTGACAGGAAATAAAGATTAATTCAGCCTCACATTAAGAAGAAATTTAGATAATATTCTCCCTAAATGAGCTACAGAGATGTGATCATGTCCATTTTTTTCTTCCAAAATCCTACTGCAGCAATGGCCAAGAGTTGATGGGATCTAAAACTCTACTTTTATCATTTATGTGAAATAGTAAATGCATCGTTAAAATGTGGATTAGATGTAAAATAATGATTTAAAAATAAATGTCAGAATACCTGAAATAGAAATTAAATACTTCACAAACTGCAAATTTGTAAATCCTCATTTAAAATTTTAATTAAAACATAAAAGAGTCTGGGAGAAAAATTTGATGAAGTGAACATTTTCAAGAAATGATGTTAAAAATATTTTGTAGCTGTTTTTTGAGTTTTAATGCATTTCACAGCATAGTGAAATATTGTGTTCTTGCCATTTTTAAATCTAAGTGCCAATACCATGGCAATATTTTAATGAGAATTAAAATTCAAGGAAGACCTGTGTGTCCAAGGATTGGTGCTACTTCTGATTTGGTTGATGTTATCTCATTTGTAGGTATAAAAATCCCCACCCTGGAAATGAGTTTTGAATTATTTCACCTAATGATCAAGAATGAGATTCCATGTATCACAGACTCTTTCAATCATAACTGTATGAAAACCTCCTTCTAAAATGGAAATAAAGGAAAATACATAAGCATCTTGAAGTTTGAACAACTAATTACATTAGTAATACAATAAACCAAAGTATTAAATATAAATAATCAGGATATAACACCATTGCTGCTAAAATGTATGTTGTAAAAAGTAAACCAGCTAAATAATATGCTTATCCTAACAGTAGTAACCAAGCATCAAAAAGGCATATTCATTTATTAACTCACGAACTTCAAAGAGAATAAAATAATGTCTTAGGTTTAACTTCTAGCACATGGCTAACCACATGGCAATTGCCAGGGGCTGGGGGAAGGGGAAACTTAGATGTATCAGTCTGTTGGTTCGCAAACCTCAAGAGTTCCCCTGGGTGACATCTGAAACGGACTGCCTTCACTGCCAAACTGAAGAAAGAGGCAGGCCACTCCACACTGTTGGTAGGTGGCAGGTTTAATGAGCAAGAAAACTTACATATGTGGCTTGTCTTGGGCAGCTGCAAGACGAGTAGATCTTCGCAACCACCACCAAAATCTTAAAAGTTTATATAGAGGACTTAATGGGATTCAGGCACATATACTACCCAGATGGTCTCAACAACACATTGCTGCATCCTTGAAATGGCTCCAGCTATGGAAACAGTGGGCAGAATATTTATTTCAAGGACAGGGGAAGGGCTGAGGAGCTTCTGATTGTCCAATTTCAGCTCTCAGGTCAAAAGGCTGTGTCCTCTCTTTGACCTCCTCCAATGTAGTCAAAGAGTACAAAGTTTCAGTTACACAAGATGAATACATCCTAAAGGTCTACTGTACACCGCACTGCCTATTGTTAACATTATTATACACTTAAAGATTTTCTGAAAGAGCAGACTTATGTAAGTGCTCTTATCACACACAAAATAAATCGAGGATGGGAAGAAGCTTTCGGTGGTGGCTGTGGGGATGGTATAGATTGTGGTGCTAGTTTCACAGTGTATACTTATCTTCTTACTCATCAAGCTGTGCATGTTAAATACGTACAGGTTTCTGTATATAAACAAAAACAAAAAACACATACATGAGAAAGTATGGACTTGAGAACATTTGCTTTGATCTTTTGGCTAGTGTTAGTAAACTGCTGTATTGACTAGCCTGGTAACTAGTCTTTAGCCCTAGGTTGAATGACAGTGTTGTTCACACATCCAGTGGAATTGCTTGGTGATTACAGTGAGTTTCAACTGTACTCCTGAAACACCTCAAATGTTCTACAGTATCCTTAGTTTTGCAGATAATGAAACAGTCACTGAGGTAGCAACTGGAATGCAAATTATGCTATTTCAGATCACACTAGATTATACCAATATAGTATGGTTTTAGAAGGTAATGATTTTAAATCTTACAATTAAAATCTATCGTCGATAGCTTTTGGGTTATACAAAACAGACCTAAAGATATAGATTGAAAATGGCAATGGAATATTCATGATTATGGTAAATACCTATAAATACATAAGTGTGTATGTATAGAATTACAAAATTGGAGAGGACTTTTTCTATTATTTAACTCACATTTTCAATGCAATGATCTGTTCTGGCTCATTAGTGACATAGTCAACAGCATTCCAGGAATGAGCTATTTAATGCCTTCTATCCCTCTGCTATTAGTGATGGTCAATTCTAGCTAAAATATAAATATTTTTCCAGATTGCTCCTTTAGCAACTCAAAATGATAAATCTACTTTCTTTTGTTGACAGCACTGCTTAGTTTCCTGGCAAACTTTGTGGACAGAGAGAGAAAATGGTCACACTGTAAGTAGACCACATAGAACAATCTTTTTAAACATTAGTAAGAATCTTCTGTTTATCATAAAGTGCCATTCTGATCAGTTTGGGATGAAGCAGAGATTCTGAATTTCTTACAACTTCCCAGGTGCTATTTATGCTGCTGATGGAATTCACACACATACACATACATGCACACTACATGTTTATTCATATACACACAGATGCATGTGCATACTCATGCAGTACACAAAATGCTTTACTTCTATATATGGTGCTTAATATTTTACAAGGCATTTGGACACTGTTTGATTTTACAACAACTAACCAAATAGGGATTATTAGTTCAAGTTAATAAAGAAATTCAGACTCAAGACAGCTGTCTTGGCCAATATCAGAGTTGGTAAATAGTGAGTATGTGATCTGTAGTGAAATCTGCCAATGATATATAAAGTCTACCTCATGGAGACCACAAAATTGTGGAAATCAC